CTTCTTTAAATAATATTTATGATAGTTATTGTAATATCTTGTCAAATTGAAATATTTAAAAATGCAATACGGGAATTTCCATTGGGTAATTTATGGTCGTAGATCTCGTGAGGAGCTTATTCAGTAATTTACCATAAGAATTATGATTGATCAGAAAATTAAAATAGCAAAGCCGTGAAATTTCAACAGATACTATTAGTTTTTATTATTCTTCTTGATCCAGGCAAACTCTTAAAAATATATTATCCAGCATTGAGCTTGGTGTACAGAAAAATCCCCAAAAAAACAAAAACAAAACAAAAAACAAGAACTAAGAAAGAAAAAAAAATCCTAAATTGCAATTCTTGAGTGAAATTAAAAGGCGTATGAATATTACAACCAGAGATATTTATAATTTGCATAGGTGTGTGTATTTGTAGTCCCTGTAAGCTTGGTATAAAAATAAATACTGTATATGGTTTGAGAGGTTCATTGATGTCATGAATTATGTGAAGGAGTTCCGTACTGCCATATTTGAACTATGGCCACTCCTGTAAGTCTCCTGTCTACAACTGGGTCACCGGATCAGCCAATCCTTTTTTTTCAATCCCTATATTTTACGCAGCTGCGTACTTCGGAAAAAGAAAAAAGAAAAAGAAAGGAAAACACGGCAATAGGTTTTTACAAAACCAATCCATGTCGAGATGAATGAAGATATGTGGAAATTCTTTTGACATCCAACGTACCGGATGAACGAATTCTAGCCCACACCTTTCTTTTTCAGATTCTATATATGTATTTTTAGATTATTTTTAACGTTTTGAATTGAAGTATTATTATTATTATTATTATTTATTATTATTATTATTATTATTATTATTAAGGTATATCAGAAAAATATGAAAGGTAGATATAAATTCAATATAAAGTTAATATTTTTTTAGAGCTTACAAGCGAGCAATCCTGGAATGCATAAACAAAATCTTAACTCTATCTGTCAGTCTGTCTCTCCGTCTGTCTGCCTGTTTCTGTTTCTCTCTCTCTCTCTCTCTCTCTCTCTCTATATATATATATATATATATATATATATATATATATAAATTCACTCCAAGCAAGGCGAAAATGCCACTATGATGCAAGGGACTACCGAGAGTGAGAAGAATGGAAAGACTTTAGAAGGAACCGGAAAGCCAATCCTAAGCAGGGCGCAGGGGATAAACTGAAGCATCAACTCCTTTTGAAAAGACCAAAGAGGAGTGTCAACCGGACGATAGGCGAACCTAAAAATCAGAAAAATTTATAAAAAGCCTATATATATATATATATATATATATATATATATATATGTATATATATATATATATAAATGTATATATATATATATATATATATATATATGTATATATATATATATATATATATATATATATATATATATATATATATATATATATATATATATATATATATATATATATTCATATATAATATATATATAGGTTGCATGTTTCATTGAATAATATAGGAATATTATGTCTATTTTTATAATAATCATTTACAGCCCACTAAATAGTTTCTTGGTGTTAAGATTAAATTCATTAAGGAAGGCGCTGTAATTGTTTCCTACCCAACTACTTTCGATCTCCTCCAAAATCATTCTCCTAACGGATAAATTAAATTTTTTTTAAATAATTTTAACAGTGCGCGTTCACATGAGTTTTTTTTTTCATTTTTATTTAGTTTTTTTTTTAATCATCATCACGGCGATCACAGTTATAATAAGTTTGTTTTTGTAATTCACCCTTGAGAATGATCTCGGAGGTGATCTAAAGTAGTTGGGTAAGAGAAAACTATGGCGTCTTCCTTGATGAATTTTATCTTAACATCAAGGAACTGATTAGAGAACTGGAAAGAATGATTGTAAAAATAAATAGACATAATATGTCTATATTATTCAATGAAACATGTTTGAATATATATATATATATATATATATATATATATATATATATATATATATGTGTGTGTGTGTTTGTTTGTGTGTGTGTGTGTGTGCGTATGTGTGTGTGGTGTGCATGTAATGGACTGTGGGAGAAGGCAATAACAAACCATGTTTTGTCTCATTTCCTCCGTCTGTCGAGCATGAATTAAATCTTAATTTAAACTTCGGTAGAGTTCGTTAGCAAATTAAAGACTGCTGATCTGCTATGTAATATCAGTTCTCCTATATTGCAGTGAATGCTGGACAATTTCCTCAAAGTTGAAGAGGAGACGTGAGCCAACAAAGATCTGGTTCTACAGAAGTATGCTGAAAATATCATGGACGCACTATGCGGACAACGAAGAAATTTTAAGAAAAATAGAAACAACAAGAAGAATGCCTATAATTAGAAATTAGAAGGAGGCAGTTGAAATTTCTGGGATAGAAAAGGAAGAAAGAGGGTTTGAAGAATTTAACAATCTACGTACTTATTGAAGGGAAGCTGTACAGAGGAAAAAAGCAAATAGCCTACCTAACAAGCTCGTGTTAATGGATATCAGACCAGGGAGTGAAAAGGGTAGTAAATAGACAACCATTAATAACAGTTACAAAGGATAGGGAGTTGTGGAGAGCCGTGATCACCTGCCTAACAAGCTTATGTAAATGGTTGTCATATAGTGGGTAGGGTAATAAAAACCGCAAACATTACTAAAAGCTACAAAGGACATGAAGTTGTTGAGAGCTATGATTGCCCACGTTCTAAAGAACAGGGAAGTATCCACTGGGTATGCAAGCCCCGCTTTGTGACCCGGAATATGATTTGTCTTGGGAGATAAATCATTGAACTCTTTATTTCTTTTTAATTATCCATAGAGAAAATGAAGTGTTTAAAAAATTAGAGACAGTCCAATCTCCTGTCGACCTGTCAATATTCTTTTCAGTTGTGGCATGGAGTCTACGAGATACCGGATACGTTGCGTTGATTTAGTTATGTAGATGCATTCCGGGTCTGTACTCTCGGGTTTGTAATAATTGTACCCTCCTGCTTATTAATTATAAAAAATTCCAACCCTGCTCCATTTCGAACTCCGAGATTAACTATTTTTGTGGAGGCCGCCATGAAAAGTAAAAAAAAATTGTTTTAAGAAAATGATCATTTAGAATCTCGTTGTTCATCGACAGAAACAGTAAATGTTTGACGAGTGTTAAACTTCGCCATTATACAAAACTTTTCCCAATCACGGATGTCCGCAAAAGCATACGATGTTCCGTGTAGAAAAGAATGACAAATCGAGGACAGTAGAAACATGCTTTTGTAAAGTGTATATTTATTTACTAGCCTAGAAACTGCCTTTCAGGCGGACTTTAAGTTCCTCTCCTGAGGAGAGGTTTTAGGTCTTCAGTCTTTTACTTTCAGCGTCCTATGTACGTAAAAGTTATAAGAATTTAGAAATAATCAAATTATTTTATCTTTATTCGGCACCTTAATTCGGCATAATCTTTCTTCGTATATGCAACCAATCTTCGTAGTTTGTTTACATTTATTTTGCGCGCATTTTTTTCTTTTAAAATCACCATGATTTATGATCCCTTTACATAAAGTCACTCTTAAAAGACATTAGGGAACCCGAATTATGAAATGTTTTGAATACGTCACAATACGTGTGCTAGAAAAAGAAAAAAAAAAAAACATATGAGCAACGTACCGTGCCCCGCTTAAATTTTAATTGAGGTTTAATTGGACGATATCAAATTGCAACTGCGACGAAAAGCGAAATTAAAGTTAAACCTTTAATTAAGAATTGTTTTTTAAATTTTCACTCTGTTCGACATTTAAATTTAACTTTTTTGAGTTATTTATTTAATTTTTAATCGCATGTAACTATAGTAGTTACTACGTGTTACTTCAAGTTGTTTATTATTCACCGGGAACGAAAAACGGACGGACACACGTTCACAACGCTTTATTCATATAGATGATAAAGAAGAAAATTGTTTTAACTCTTGTTAAATAATTTACTGCGTGTTCATATAACATTCCTTCACTCAAATAAACAAAATTCTAGATTATTTACACTATTTACATTTTTCGGACTGTTGTGCTCATCTTCATTGCCATATTCACGACGTTCTGGCCGTTGTACGCCCCGGCCTTTTTCAGGTGATATACGTTGGAATTTGGAACCGAATCCTTCAGTTAGTCCACCGGGGGGGAGGGTAGATTGTTCTAATTTCACGTGCTATGCCTTTGGATATTTATTTTAGTATATCATCTGAAGAAGGCCTGGCTGTACAACGGTTGAAACGTCCTGAATATAATAAAGATGAGGACAACGGTTCTAACAATGTAAATAGTGTAAATAGTTACAATACCTCATCTCAGAAATATAGACAGCTGTTGAATTCTGGACGATTCATACTTCATCTTCAAAATTTTCCATCAGCTTATTCCGCTCCACCCCGTTTATTCAAGACACGAGAGTAAATGACATAGCGTTCTTCGTTGGGTGTAACTACATAGGAAGTTAGTGAAGTTTGCAATATATTGATACATGCCCAATAGGATTAAATCCCGTTGACGGCGGCAGGGGTTTTACAGTTTGTGTCACACGCGTACGATAATATTACTAGTAGGAAACATGGCGGACATAAGGTGGTTCAATTGATCTGCAACTACATCTGTATATATATTACACTTGTCAAGAGAAACTTCAGTTCTACTATTGTTCCTGGCGAATACTAACAGAACCACCAACACCTTGCGCAATAACCAACTGCCGCCAATACCTTGCACAACAATACCAACAATTGGCACAACACCCAACTGCCACCAACACCTTGCAAAGCAACCAACTGCCACCAACATCTTACAAAACAATCAACTGCCACCTACAACTTGCACAACAACACCAATAACTTTTACAACAACCAACTGCCACCAACACCTTGCCGAACAACCAACTGCCACCAAGAAATTGCACAATACCACCAAAAACTTGCACAACAACCAACTGTCACCAACAGCTTGAGGAACAACCAAATGCCACCAACACCTTGCCGAACAACTAACTGCTACCAACAAATTGCGCCACAACACCAACAACTTGCAAAAAAAAAAAAAAAAAAACAACTGCCACCAACACCTTGCGCAACAACCAACTGCCACCAACAACTTTCACAAGCAACAATTTTCACAACAACCAACTGCCATCAACAACTTTCACAACCAACAATTTTCACAACAACCAACTGCCACCAACACCTTACGCAACAACCAACTGCCACCAACAAATTGCGTAACAACAACAACTTGCACGACAACAACTGTCACCAACAACTTTCACAACCAACAATTTTCACAACAACCAACTGCCACCAACACCTTGCCGAACAACCAACTGCCACCAACAAATTGCGTAACAACAACAACTTGCACGACAACAACTGTCACCAACAACTTGAACAACAACCAACTGCCACCAACAAATTGCGTAACAACAACAACTTTCACAACAACCAGCTACCACCAACAACTTGAACAACTTTAAATTAAAATACCTCAGTACCTTGTCAGTCGTTTTTAATGAAACTTACATAAAAGAGAGATTGTTATCCAAATACTCAATTGTATATATATATATATATATATATATATATATATATATATATATATATATATATATATATATATATATATATATATATTATTATCATTGTGTTTTATCCAGTTCTCCGTGAAAATGGTACATGTTGGAACTGAATGGGGAGGGATAAGTTCTTGTGGTGATTTTGTCCATTAATAGGATTATTTATGATGACCAGCCTTTTTTCCCCACTCTTTCTTCGACCTTATGCAGCAAGCAAATGTATTTTTGATAAATAAACACTTCATTTTATATATAAAAAAAATAGATAATGAAATTCATTCTTTTTGCCTCTCGCATTTGTAATACAACATCCCATGTTCAATATCATTTTTCGTGAATGAAATGCCGTGAAGAATTATTCACTTATTGTTACATAAATGACGAAGTTTTGTTTGAAATATTTTCAATTGTCTTCTATTATCACGCGTCTTGTCACATGCAGTCACGTGGTTGTCTGTGAGTTTGAATTGTTGCCTGATGATAACAATGAAACGAAAAAGGTTACAAAATAACGGACAGAATCTAGGAACTGGCTTCTCGGTATGTTTGTAACACTCTTTCTATCCCATTCTGTTCATATCTATCTATCTATGTGTGTGTGTCTATTCATTTCTTTTTTCTATCTATCTATCTATCTATCTATCTATCTATCTATCTATCTATCTCAGGTACATATGTGTCTATCAATTCATATTCCTTCAAACGTTAGTGGATATTTCGTAGTTGAAATAGTCAACCCATTTTTATTTATTAAACAAAGTGTATTACGTCTATCTATCTGAGCATTCCAGAAAATGTGTTACAGGGAGGGATCGAACCTGCGCCACCTTTGTATGGGAAACGACCGATTGATCCAGTGTGCTTTACAGCTAAAACTCTCAATTAATATTAAAACTAGCAATTTTAAATTGAATAATCAAAAAGCTTTAGCTAACATAACGATGACAGCGGTATGTAAAAACACAGAAAAGGATATATATATATATATATATATATATATATATATATATATATATATATATATATATATATATATATATATATATATATATATATATAAATAATACCAAATTGTAATTGGTAGGGGTTATTTAAATAGGACTTTTCAGTCTATATGAGAGCTCAATGTGTGATACAGAACAATTTCTAAGAATAATTAGGAAAAAAGACTTAAAAATCCATATTCAATAACAAATTATTTCGATCAATATTCATCGGTATAAATTTATTACTATGGATTTTTAAGTTCTTTTCCTAATTATATATATATATATATATATATATATATATATATACAGAAAGTATCTTATATACCACAATTTATCAAATGCATTAGTCATACATAGAAATAGATTCAACCACATCTTCGATCTAAAAAAATGCCACACCTATTAAAAGAGGAAGTAATTTAAAAGGACAATTCTAGAGAGTGCCGCTATCGAAATTTATATATATATATATCAGTTAGTCATGTGCCATGCGTGATACACAGTAAGTTGCGGTATAACAGTTGCCATCCAAGGCTATAGAACCCGGCCTGCTATTTACCCATAGCTAGGGGGAGAAGAAGAGGATTCAATACCTTTCCCAAAGATATTAGCACGTAAGTGAATGTAATGGATTCGACTGGAATTCGAACTCGGCTCACCGATTCCTCAATCTGAGCCTCTCTCCAGTACTCTACCGTGCCTATATATATAAAAATTTAAAAGATATATATATATATATATATATATATATATATATATATATATATATATATATATATATATATATATATATATATATATATATATATATATATATATATATATATATATATATATATATATATATATATATATATATATATATATATATATATATATATATTATTATATATTATTACAGAATATAGGCTATAATCATCATCACGTGAAAAATTCGACTTGAAGACACACTTCGATTCAGTGTAATTTCTCATCTTAAGCAATTTTGCAAATATCGCTTATCAGACCTATCCTAAACTAAGCCATTAGCAGTTCTTCAAAGCTTTTACGGGAAATGATGCAATTTTATTGATATATTTTTTAAAATGTCTTCAATGCCTATAATAGTGGTTGTTCATTCGAATATCTATATCATTCCAATATCTATACCACTGATTTTCCGTTCCAGAGTCTATACCAGTGGTTGTTCATCCCAATGTCCATACCAGTAGTTGTTCGTTCCAATGTCTATACCAGTGGTTTTCTGTTCCAGAGTATATACCAGTGGTTGTTCATCCCAATGTCTATACCAGTGGTTGTTCGTTCCAATGTCTATAACATTGGTTGTTCGTTTCAGTTTTTTCCCCCAGTGGTTGTTCATTCCAATGTCTAAGGATGGTATTAATTCTATTAACGATTAAAATGTATTCAAATTAAATAAAACGTCTGGGACCAATAGCATTGCAGATTCTTTTTTGGATTTTATCAAGAATCTGTGAATATTTAACAGAAGCTCCGGATCAGATGCAGCAGCAATATTCAAAGCATGGACAAATGGTAGACTTCTAAACATTTAAGATAGGTTCTGGCGAGAAAAATGGTCCTACATGATAAAGAAAATTAATATAGTAACTTTCCTAGCAGTAGACCTAGCAATTAATTCAATATAATCTTTCCACTTCATGTCAGCAAAAAACGTAAGTCCAAGAAGTCGTAATGAGTCCTTGTCCTGAAGGTTAGCTTCAGCCATACTGATAGAAGGAAAAAAGGACCATCTCAAACGATTAAAAAAGAGCAGTTACGTTTTGTTGGAGGCATTAAAATTAACAAGCCATTCCTTGCTGCAGTTAATAACAGATTGTAGGTAATTTTTGAGTTATTAAACTCATGTTTTTTTTATAATAATTTTAATATTTTAGTTTTCATTAACATATTAATTAGGCACATCAAGGAACTTTCTAAAAAAATAAGAAAAACGTATTTTGAATAATTTAAATGTCTTCTTTGAAGTTAACTTTTGGTTTCATTTGAAAGGTCGTACAAGGTGGTCTGAATGTCTTGTCACCCCTACCAAAAGGCAATGGGAACACAAGAACAAGTAATACAGTAATACAAAGCACATGTACTGGATTCAGTTCATTCACTTTCATTGACGCTGTTACACATCGAGAAGGTCTGTATGAACCACCATCAATTCTGTGGCACAAAATGATGCGGCACTTTGTCCTGTGTGATATTTTACGAAGCTGTGATTTGTTGATTGCTGCAAAGTCTCTGCAAACGGCGTCCTTCAACTGATGGGATTTCTGGTATAGTCTATGTGAAACTCTCTCTTGGATAAAATCCCACATATATTTATGGGTGACAAGACTTTCGGATCACCCTGTACATTGTAGAAATTCAGTTCTCTTCTACAATAATAATACATGGCTAAAGAATAAAAACAAAAGCGCCTTTGATGTCTCCCCCCCCCAACTCATTTGACGGTGCAGAGTTGATGGGCATCTCTATATGAAGCAAAATAAAATAGAACATATAAATGACCATAGACTATACAGAGATGATGGAGTTATGGCGATGCCAAGAAGAGTGAACGAGAGAATAATAAAAAAAAAGCTATACAAACTCCACCAAAATCCAACACAGGCTAACCATTGGAAAGGCACAGGTATATCTTGGTTTCAAAAAATACAAAAAGCATGTATTTATTAAATACCATATAAAAGATTTCTATCTCTCCATATCTGAACAGGGGCTCACTGAAGCATTAAACATCCCTAAGGTGTTCATTAATGTAACACCTGAGGTAGAAGAAATTAATCTACAGGGTGATCCGAAAGTATTGTCACCCCTCTATCAAAAAGTAATGAGAACACTAGAACAAGTAATACAGCAATACAAAGCACATGTACTGGATTCAGTTCATTCACTTTCATTGACTCTGTTACACATCGATAATGTCTGTATGAACATCATCATTTTCGTGGCACTAAATTATGCGACGCCATGTCCTGTGTGATATTTTATGAAGCTGTGCTTTGTTGATTGTTGCAAAGGTTCTCTGAACGGCGTCCTTCAACTGATAGGTATTCTGATATCGTTCATATGAAACTCTCTCCTCATAGAGCGTTGAAATAGAAAATGTGGGTATGACAAGACTTTCGGACCACCCTGTAGGTTAAAGATAATACGTAAAAGGAGAAAAAATTTAAACAAAATAGAAAAATCAGTTGCCAGTTTGACCTTATCGAACAGATCAGACGAGTAAATAGTTGCGTCATCAGCATAGATAACTATTTGCGTACGGGTGACATCGTTGATGGAATAGTGTAGGTCCAAGGATATAGCAGTGGGGGATACCTACATTAATGCAAAAAGATCTAGAAGAGTGGCCATTCAAGATAACTTTCATTTCTCGATTTGATAAGAAAGATAGTAATATTTTCTCCTTATCTGAGGCAACTTCAAATGATGGTATTGGGATGGAATAACTCGGGTGATATACTGTATGTTACCAATGTGCGTTTCCAGTGTATGCTTCCACCAACAAAGCTAATCGCAGCGAATGAGTATTTAGCTCGACATCTTTCCCAGCTGAACCAAGAAAATACAAGAGAATAGATTTTAAGCAGACATCATGAACTCAACGGCGATGCGTTGTATCATACTATAATACATTTGGGGCACCTTGGCGTGGTGTAATGGTTAGCAAGCTTGTCTCGCAAAAACTGTTACGACTGAATAGTGAGTTCGATCCTCATTGGGTGCCCCATAGTTTCGGCCTTGTGCCACATCTAAGCAATGCTTAGAAAATCAATACTATAATTTGGAATTATTTTTCGTTCTGTCATGATTAAATCCCTGCGTTTATTCATATTCTAATGTTTTGAAAGCAAGTACTCACTTTTGAAAGGCTACAGATTCGGGTTCTTCTTTCAAATGATCCGTTCTGAAAGGATCATGGCCCTCCACAACTTCTTGTCTTTTATATCTCTTAGTAACGTTTGCTTCTTTACTACAGCTCTTTGTCTTTGTGGTCCTTGTTCAGCTAGCCATTTACTCAAAATCGCCAAGTACGTTTTGCTTTAGTGTGCCCTGTGAGTTTTAAATTCTCGAAGCTTTCTTTCCTTATTATTGACTCCTCCCAAAATTACACACACACACACACACACACACACACACACACACACACACACACACACACACACACACATATATATATATATATATATATATATATATCATGTTGATGCAGTGTTGATTTCTATTTCTGTGTCTAAACTGTTTATATCTATCTATCTATCTATCTATCTATCTCATTTTATTCACATCTATGTTGTGGTAGGATCCACCTAATTTGGATCTAAATATGGTTGGTACTGGGAAGACGAGGGGAGGAATCAAGAGATTCAATCCAGAGACTCTGCCGACTGCGACTAAGTCAACACATTCTCCAGGAACGGTCTTCCCAAGAATATACAAAAGACTATATGTAAATATTGTGTACACTTTCTTGTTTCAATACATTTTGTTCTAAGTACATTTTGTGTTGCATTATTATTCCATGCATTAGTCAAGTTTCAACAATCTATCTATCTATCTATCTATCTATCTATCTATCTATCTATCTATCTATTCATTTGATTCACATCTATCTATCTATCTATCTATCTATCTATCTATCTATCTCATTTTATTCACATCTATCTATCTATCTATCTTGTGTGGGGGGTACATGTGCACGTTAGTGTGTGAGACACTTTTCATAAATGAAACACTGCTTGAAGAAGCCCAGGGTGAGACATTTCTGCTCCTAGATCAGAGGTTCTCATCCAGGGGGGAATTTCGGGGTTTCAGTGGGAGGGAAAATCTTTTAATTATTATTCTTTTTTTATTACAGAATTTGGAGCCCATCATGAGTATCAAAAAAGACTGTATGACGAATTTTCTATTCAATATGGATTCGCATCCATCAACACCAATGAAGAAGAAAGGCCCCAGCGTATATTTTGTTGCCAAGCTTTGTCAAATGATTCTTTTTTAAACCAACAAAATTGATGCAACATTTACAGAATGTTCATCCTTAACACAAGAACGAAGACCTTTTTTGAACGTCAGGAAAAGACTCACAAAAAGACTTTTGTTGTGCCCTTTTAAGCACTCCTCTATCTATCCCATAATCGGTGAAGAAAAAACAATCACATGTTTCTCACTGACTGTAAGCTTCATCAGATTAAAATCGATTTTAATACCCTGGTATTCTATTGAACATTTTGTTTATTGGAGTATGCTTCAGTTTATTTATTTAATAATTAGTCACGAATTAAAACAAATTACTGTACATTAATTCAAGTTTAAAAATCCATCATTTTCTATTGCTATTTAATTTTTAAAACTCGTCTATGAGAATAATCCATGTAAATGTATGTCTACTAATATGGAAAGAAATGAAGATTTTCAATAATATATGCATATTATTCATAATGCGCCTTTTGAGTCGGACAATATTGGAAAACGTTGGGGAATTACATTCTGACATACGGTGAATAGGGTGTACTAGACAAAAAAAAAAAAGGTTGGGAACCGCTCTCTTAGACAGAGGGCACAGATAATACACTTTGATCCTAGACAGATGGTACATATAGTACACTGATCCTAAACAGAGGCCGTAGATAGTACACTTTGATCCTAGGCAAAAGGCACATATATTAAACTGATCGTGTAGAGAGCACAACGAATAAACTTTGATCATAGGCAAAGGGCAGTACACTTTGATCTTTGAGGGATGACTAGACAGAGGGCATAGTAAACTGATCCTAGCAGATGTAACAGGAAGCGACACCTTGATTCTAGGCAGAAGACACAGATAGTACACTTCGATCCTAGGCAGAGGGAACGGATTGATATCATTCATCTTAACCAGAGAGCACATAGTACCCTGATCTTACGTAGAAAGTAGTGTAGTACAGTTATCATAGGCAGGAGAGTCAGGGAGCGACGCGTTGGTCCTAGGCGGAGATCTCTGTTGCCCCTTGGCAGAAGTGCCAATGCTACCGTAAATAAGTCATTTGTGACGGGTATTATGCTAGTTAATAATTATTAATCATAAGTAGTAGTAGTAGTCTTCAGGATATTGCTGCATCGAATATTGCTGCCACATCTGATCTGGTGCTTCGATTTTATATCAAGAGATTCTTGACAAAATTCAAAGAAAAAGTGTGCAACATTATAGGCCCTGACCTGGCCACTCGGCTTCAGTCACTTTCCCACCGCTGTAGTGTAGTTTCGTTTTTCTATATAGTTGCTTTTTCTATAAATATTTTCACGGTAATTCTTCTGATGAGCTTTCATCGTCAGCGCCTTGACTTCACTAATTTAAGTGCAATACGAAATCTGTTAGATCGTAAGTTCTCTGCTTATTCCACTGTACTTCCACTGTACTTCTCACTTGCTGTAATCTCTTTCAGCTTAAAAAAAAAAAATCATTTCACTTTAAAAACATCATTTCACTCCAAGCAAAGTAATAATGCCACTTAGACGTAAGGGTTCCAATGAGTTTGAAAGCATATGAGGAAAAAAAAAACATTATTAAGTAGAGAGAACAACAAAACAACAAGAATCAAGAAGACGGAATATAACGATTGGCATTGCATTTAAATTTTTGAAGGCCAAAGTTTACTTGGAAGCAAGAGGTTGGAAGAGATTTTCATAACATGTTAGCATAGAACCTACGGTTACATCCATTTATTTTAACTATAAAATGTTGAGATCTCGTCGCCAATATAATACTGTGCTTAAATTAGTTATTAATTAATTAGTAAATAAGTTGAGGTAACAAAGAGGAAAGAAATATTTATTTTGAATAAAACAAAAATTTAGCACAAGTCCAAAAGGTGGGGATAGAGGAAGGCTGGTCTTCAAATTGTTTTATTAAACTTACTGACCCAAAACATACCACAGTATTCCTTACACCCAAACAACACATTCTTACTTACCACTCTTACTACAGCCGCCATAATGCCTCAAAGTGTCTATATAGTTTCCAGAACAACATTTTAAAAAGAGGAATGATCATCAGAACGATTACAAATGAAAATATTTGTAGAAAAGACACAGAACTTCCTGTTTTTGGGGACTTAAAAAGTTAAATGTAAATCGTCATCTTCTGCCTCCTCAATGTTCTTTCATTGTCTTTTCTGTTTCTTGCCCTCTAAGTAACCACATGCATTTTAGTGACTTTTATTGTCTTGATTGAGATGAAAGGAATAATAAAAACAGAGTTAACTCTTTATTTTCTCCATTTTTCTTTTTAGAGCACATTGCTGAAAAAAAGACTTTGGCATTACATTCTTTTATTAGGTTCTGTTAAAACTTGTTCGCGTGCTGCAATAAATTTTGTCGCCATTGGCATCCCAGCAACATTATCCCTAACAGGTGTTTTGTAAACAAACAAGATATAAAGACGTACATTTGTATATATAATAGCTTTATTCCATTTGTAAGCTTTATATTGATATCTGACCATGAAGATAGCTTGATGATTTTGAGTTATTTGAAAAAAAAAAACCTTTTTTCTTGTAAACTCCTTTGCAGTGCATTTACATTAAATCGCTCTTTTATCTATCAGTTACGCATAATTTAATTCCTTATCACCGGTAGGGTAATCTATCTATCTATCTATCTATCTATCTATCTATCTATCTATCTATCTATCTATCTATCTATCTATGTGTGCGTGTGTGTCTGTTACAAAACCTATTAAACGAGTCCCGACATTTATACAAAAATTGCATGTGCCTTACAGAACTAAGTTCCTGATGAAAACAAAATCATGGATAATAAAATACATCGGATATACAACTACATGCCTATCAAGAAGACCTATTTTGCACCTCTTGGATCATAAGCTCCATTGGGATCTATTTTAATGTACACGGAGACCTTCCACCTATATCCGCAACCTACTTGTAGAAAGCACCAGCATAATACACTCATCTAACTGCAGAAGGCGCTTGAAAATAATGAAAGTCTTAATGATAATAATAATAATAATGATAATAATGCAACCAAGCAGATACAGACACAATGGCAAGATAAATCGCTTCATGGCCAATACTCTGCCCATACCAAACAAACTGACGTTGACAAAACCCGTACCCATCAGTGGCTACGTAGTGCAGGGTTGAAAGCTGAAACTGAAGGTTTTATCCCTGCTGCACAGGACCAATGCTTGTTACCTAGAAATTATCAAGCACATATACTAAAATATTGTGTTAGCCCAAAATGCAGATTCTGTGATAAATATCCAGAAACGATTGATCATCTTGAATCAGGTTGCACGATATTGGCACTCACTGAATATAAAACCTGGCACGACAGAGTGGGCCAATATCTGCACTGGAAAATTTGCAATTTCTACGGGAAGGAAACTGAAAGAAACTGGTATGAACACCACCCAGATCCGGTTACGGAGATAGGACCTGTTACAATTCTATGGGACTACACAATACACACTGACAGAACAATCAAAGCCAACCGCCTAGACATTGTTATTAAAGACCGCAAACAAAAAAAAATGCCTCCTTATTGACAGGCAGTCCCTGCAGACTGCAATGTATCTTTGAAGAAATTCAAAAAGCTGTCAAAATACAAGGACCTTGAAATAGAAATCTCAAAAATGTGGCATCTGTTGTAGTTGGAGCCCTAGGATTGGTTGGAAAAGATTCCAGTAGACTAATTGAAGGGAGTCCTGGAAGTCCATGCCTCAAAGAGATACAAAAAATTGTCCTCACAAGTACAGCCCACACTTTCTGAAGGGCATTATCTATGTAATTTCTTTTTTTTTTTTTTGTCAGTGGAAAGTGTCATGATGCCATTTCTAACCTGGGCGGGACCCGGAAAGAAATATGCAAACGCCAGAAATCAAAGGAAATAAAAGTAATAATAATAATAATTGCAGCTCAGAACCAAAGCCTCGCAACTTGATCCTATCACTGTCACATAATCAAGGATGGAACTAACCCGAAATGCAGAATCTGCGCAAAATATGATGTAACTGCCGACCATATTATCTCAGGATATTCGGAACTGGCAAAAAATGAATATACCCACAGACATAACAAAGTAGTGACATATGTGCACTAGAAGATATGCAAGAAGCACAAAATCGAAACCACTGAGAGATGGTATGACCACCAACCAGACACAGTTACCCAAAATAACTATGTAACTATTTTCTGGGACATGCCAATTCTAACTGGCAGGGAAATAAAAGCCATCACACCTGATATTATTATAAAAGACAAGAAATTCAGTAAGTGTATGCTTATTGACATCTGAGAGAAACGCCTCCATAAAAATTATGGAGAAATTGTCCAAATACAAGCACCTGGAGATCGAGATTAACAGGATGTGGGGAATGAAGACTGAGACGGTACCAATAGTAATCGGAGCTCTGGGCCTCGTGAGAAAAGGAATGGAAAATTTTATTAATAGTATCCCAGGTAAAATCAACATACAAGTTGCCCAGAAAATCGCCCTACTAAGAATATCCCATATACTAAGAAAAGTGCTATAAATTAAATGACAATTCTCTTATAGACTCTATGGATTATATCTTGGACCCGGCTCTACAGGGTACAAAGCAGGAAACATAGCACAAATAATAATAATAGTAGTAAAACAAGAAATCAACTTTTAATAATACGGACACAATGTGCTGATTCTGTTCGATAATTAAAACATTTCTGTTGCTAAAAAAAATTATATTAAGACAAGCAAAAAACATCCTTGATAATCGATAATAGATTAGAAGAAAGCCAAGGATTATTTGGACAGTTCTTACACATACCTTTGTCCTATCTCTTGTAAGCATATGAAGAAAATATAATAAAATAAATTTTCAGACATCTTCAATCGGGGAGCCGAGGTCAAATTCCAGTCGAGTTCATTACATTCACTTACGCACAATTAAATTTTGGGAAAGATACGAATCCATCTCTTCTTTCGCCAGACTGGTTGGCACACGTTCTTCCTAACGTCATCAGTTCTCAACGCAGTATCTATGCTGATGACAAGAGTATTTACTCCTGTCTCGATAGTAAGTCTGATCAGTACGATAAGGTCAAATTGGCAGCTGATCTAAACAAAAATTACCTACGGTCTGCTGTTAACTGGAGCAATAAATAGCTTGTTAATATCAATGTCGCCAAAACGAACTCCTCCCTATCAATCATCTGAGAGAGACCTTTCTGCTTTCCATCAGTACGACTGATGTTAACATCCAGGATAGTGGCTCGTTGCGTCTTCTCAGGCTAATATTTTCCGCTGACATGAGGTCTAGTGAATCAATTGGTAGGTCTGCTGCTAGGACATTGGTTCATTGTGTCGGACTAGACAGTTTTTCTCTCCAGAATCTATCTGATATATCTACGTCTACCATTTGTATATGCTTTGAATATCGCTGCCACATCTGGTCTGGTTCGCCTGTTATATATTTAGAGATTCTTTAGAAAATTCAAAGAAGAATTAGCAACGTTATTCGTCCTGACCTGGCATCTTGGCTTCAGTCATTTTCCCCAATGCCATAACGTAGCTTTCCTGTACCTTTTCTATAAATATTTTCATGGTAATTTTTCTGGTGAACGCTCCACTATGGTACCTAGACTTTTATGAATTTTAGGGCTGTACTAGATTGGCGGCAAAGTCTCAGCATTTTACACTTGGAATGGCTTGATGCAACCGTAAATTCTATGCTAATGGTGTCTTCTCTCAGATTTCTCGCCTGAAACTCACTTCCGGAAGAGACGGCTACATTTAACCGTTTCGACAGTGAAAGGATGGAACTGTGATGCCAAACTAGTAGCACGTTTAATTTCATACTGTTTAAGAATTAGCGAAAGTAACTCGTCGGAGCAGTTACCATGAAAGTATTTGTAGAAAAGACAGATGGAAGCGACAGCACGTCTTTGAGAGAGCGACTGTAAACGAGATGCCAAATCAGGGACAACCACATTGCATATCCGTCTCTGTCGATTTTGTCGAGGACCTTAAGACGAATAGCGGGGACCCCAGACCATATATAACAACAGTATTCCATGCAAAGGCGAAAGTTTGATTTATATTTTTGAAGGATGGACTCGGATGAGAAAAACTTTCTGACGCGACACAGAGAACCAACTTTCCTCGTATTATGGCAAATGTTCTGACGAGATACATTCCTTAGTTCCTCCAGTTCAGACCTTCACCGCTAAGACCCACCATACCGCGTACACTGGAAAGAATCTTTGCCATTTCCTTCATTCTCCGCTAGTAAGAAGGAAGTTCTGTTCAGACAACTTTTTATCAAGGATCTCTACTTTATGGAACAAACACCTGAGTGAATATTTCCCCAATCACTAAACTCCTTACTTTCTCTTACGTGCATCTGTGGAGCGAAAACGGAAATAAACATTAAGACAGTCAATCATCAAATGACAAAAATATGGTTTCCGAGTCGGAGGATTCGCGCATTCTTCCGGTTAATAAATTAATCCTTTGAAAATAAACATTTAACATTTTTCAACCAATGTGTCGCATTCCCGCCGACAATAATAATAAAAAAAAAATGCTTCGTGCTCCCTTTAAAAACAAAGCCAGTAAGGAGAAGTGACGGATACAGACGGTAGCAGTCTTCAAAGAGATTCCCTGACTCATTCACCCGTCTCCCTCCCCTAGCTACCTGACATATAAAACCTTCCTCGCTAGGCTACGTGACATTTACTTTCTTACACACCAAGCTACGTGACACTTACACTTTCCTCCTTACTTTCTCTCTTGTCTCTTTTTTCCACACATACACGCGGGGAAATCACATTTCTATTCATCTGAACAAACAACTACAAACAAGGACCTTTAACATAAGAATTTAACGCTCATACAAGCTGAGAAAAATCGCGTTGTAAAACCATGAAAATAAAAAATATTTTATATTTAAAAACTTTTCTTGTTTTTTTCTTTACTGTGGGTTGATTCAAATCCGCAACGCATAAACCTAAATCAGTAACCCTCTACCTTGAGTAGATCTTGTATTGGGTGAATAATTAGGGAAAAAATGCAGTTATGGTTAGAATAGTAAGAAAAACTGCTTTCTATCCTCTGTTGGGGATCAATCAAGAAGAAATGGAACTCTGAATTCAAAATAAGTAGTAGTACCCACTAATCTTCTTGGCTATGCGTAAAATTAGCAAAATAAAAAGCCTTGCAATCTCACCCTGTAAAACAATCAGCAAATACACTATTTTCTAAAATATGATCGGCACGCAAGTTAAGCGACCAAACGGACTTAGGACGAGAATCTCCACACAAACTCATTAAAACAACAGTGAACAATGACATACAGCCAAAACAAATGAACATATTGTATTATAAAAGTCTGACCTGTCCGGATTCAGTTACGTATTTAAAATTCTTTTGATTTTAAAGTGCTTTTAACGCAACGTGTGCTCATTTCAGGCCATTTGATTTTGAGTATTTTCCTATTTTAAGTAAAATTTCCAGTGACTATTAAAAAGTAACACTGTAGACAATAAACAATATGAGATGACTATCTCGATCCAAAGTGAAACGAGGCGGATGTGGGGAATTCTGAATTCATCCTAACTCGTTCATCGATAAAATCTCCTAATCAAAATAACTAGTGCGGAAATTTTAAACCGCTTTCACATTGACAATTGACGTATAGAAGTACTTTATTTATTGAGGCCATCGAGCATTCTACTTGGA